TCGATTTATATAAGACTGATGACTTAGCTGAAATTTCGAAACCAGCGCTCGTTGTCAACACTTACGCGAGCAAGTTTTCTTTTAAGCATTTAAATCGTTTCGGCCGTCGAAATCTCAGTTGGTAGCAAGAGGTATGGTCAGATGCCTTATGGGATAAAGACAAACTTCATATGTTCTGGGTCCTGATTTTATGGGGACTGTCCCTAAATTTGTTTATACGAGTAACCTCAAAGAAATCCTCCGGTTTCAGTGATAAACCATGTTCACGGAAAATCTTGAATTTTCCGAGCAGGCTGCGGCTTTATGGTCTATACGATAGGAAGAAAAGTTACGTCTATTACGCTGTGCCTTGTATGACAAATGCTTTAAACCATCAGCCATATTCGTTGCCCTTTATTGGATCTGTTCGAAGTAAACATAGCATTGGTTTGTTAGTTGTGTATAGTTTGCGTTGAGTCAATCGGTGATCTGAGTGTGGTCATCAGCTGATTATCTTCGTATGTATGTCATTTTTATGCGGTTTTCCTTCATGAACACATATTCTATGCTCACACTAGAAGATGCTTAACGTCCTGTTTTGTTTTTAATTTCTGTGGTCTATAGACCATGATAATATTCGCTATAGGGAGTAATACACTGTAACGCCCGAGCGCACTAGGAGTTCTTGGATAACGTAGCTTCCTTCTGGTAAGGGACAGCACTCAGTTTTTGTCTGTTCTCACTGCCTTCTGATTTTAACGGCGCTGAAATGAACCAGGTGTCTTGTAAACCGTAATAGTCATCCGACAAGTTGGTATATCGAATATATATATTCGATAGTACACAAAGGTTTATTAAGGATGTTGAAAACAGTCAAAAATTGGATAACAATGATAAAGAAGCTTCACCACGGCAGTCTTGGGAGGGTGGAGCTAGCGGCTATCACCGGGGAAAGGGAATACTCTGTGGGGCCCTAGTGGGAAGGGCAATTGTTACGCATAGCTGTCTACAGTGGAGAGTGGGGCTGGAGCCCTCCACCAGGGAAGGGACAACCAATATACACCTTACCTGTAAGGGCAAACCACCTACATCATCCTTGATCAAACCCAAACTGCCCAACGATTTAAGCAAGGTCGCCTTTCTTTTCTCCTCGCGGATCCTACAATATTACTCCCTATAGGGGGTATTACCGTGGTCCATTTCTGCAAAAGTATCCTCAGAATTTGAATTCAAAACAGGACGTCCCTAATATAAGGAATGGGAAGACGTCAGACGGATGCCATTTTGGTATAATATTTCACTGATCTGGCTCCATCTCTGATAGCATTGCTCAGGACCATTTGGTCCCTGTGCGGCGTCATTGCAGCGCTGGGCGGTATTCCGTATGGTGATTGGGAGATATAAAAAGTGGTAATAACTTTCGCCAATCAGGTCGCAATTGGCGGAACACCTTATTGATCTAGTGCACTAGACCCAGCAGAGACTTTCGGACCTTGCTCAGCACAAGGACATTTCTAGCAGGGCCTATATTCTTCCAAAGTCTGATATCAACTTTAACATAATAAAAATAGCAGAAAAAATTAGCATTAAAGGATAACAACTAAGGATGACGTCAGACAGGCAGCAGGTTGGTACAGCATCTGGTGCAGCGGAAAATAGCACCTAAATGCGAACGCACGAAAACAAGTACGCTTTCTGATTGATCAACCGATCATAATAAGTGCATTCTGTCTTTGCGTTCGCGACGTAGGCGCAATACGCCCTACAAACTACGCTGCAGCCTGGATTCCGCCGCGATCTTCGCTGTACAAATTATACCATATCATTTTAGGGTTGTTATTCGATTTATAAGAGTGTGATTCCAAAGGAAAGAGTAATGGACTATCCATGGGTTTGAACTTTCGGCTGAATTGAAGTTCTCAGTAAAGTCATTTCACCCACTACCTGTTTCTGGTGCAGACGTTCTTAGGGCCATGTATTTTGGACAGTTCAGCCCTGTATGTACGACTGTTTGCCACTAAATCATGCGGCCATAGAAAGGACCAAATTAACCCACCGAAAGTTTCATCCTTATACATTTTGCGTTGGTATAATCAGGGTTCTGTGGGCAGGCAAAGATAATCAGCTTCAAACTCCCTCTGGTTTTATTGTCACCTGTCCCTGGCTCTTTCCAGTCTGACCTCAAATGCGTATGTCGAGGCGTTGTTACTCCGAATTTACACGCATGACCTGTCAGATATAGTTAAAATAGCCACCTGCCATTTGGGTATATCATTGTAGTTTGACTAAAAACATGAACTTTCTTTGAACGAAGATTATCTATTTGCACCGCGCACAAAAATTTGTTGATTATATTTTCCAGTAAACGCCACAAATGCCAGTTAGTCGTAAGTAATCCCAACTTAAACTTGAAAACTCTTTCGCGTACATAGTCTAAGGACAACAGTTTATAAACTAAAAGTAAAGATACTTCACGCTTCTTGGTTTACTGGTTTAGATTTCGCATCCTCGCAAGTATTCGACCGAAAATTCTTTTGCTCAACTGGTAGACATGGCTTTTGCAGGTGGTCGAAAAGAAATGCATTCGAAAGCCGGCATCCTGGCGTGGCTATAATAGTATTACCAACCCACCTAAATAATCCTTCCTAATTGAAAAAGAATTTTAGAATTTCAGTTAACAGTTCATGAGGTGAGTCACTGACCGTGACTGGACAACCCTTGTATTTGCAGTTCGTAACTTTACGATTCCTTCTTCCCGGTTTCCCAAACACAGTCTTGTCCTCTGGGTTACCCTTTCATTTATGAAACTAAGCTGTTTACACTGCGAAACGGCGATTTCTTCAAAGGACGTAGAGTAGGTAGACTTACAAAAATAATATTCATTTTCAGACTCCTTCAAATGGTGCTTGTATTAAATCAGACCAAAACTCTAAGTTGTATTATGTGAAACGCGTTTAGCAAGAACTCGACCTCTTGTTAACCTCTGCCCATCTCTGTTCTTCTTGATCCAGTCTGCCGACTTGAATAGTAAATCAAGAAAGCTTGAGCTCATGACTGTGAGGACCTCCTCCCAATCAAGCATAAATCATGAAGAACTGCCTGCTGTTCTCTCCCCTCCAGGCATACTGACGAATCTCATATAAATACAGCAAATAAAGTATTATTTCACCGTAACACTTAGGACAATAGTGTGATGAATACTTAAATATATTTTAAAGGAAGACGTTGAAGTCCATACTCAACTCCAGCGTTTTCGCCGTCGAGGTGACCGGTTTCCTGGCTAGTGGCAGCATGCAACTCGATTTTCTGGTTCAGTCAAATTCTTTTTCAATTGCGTCAGCAAGTTGGCTTAACTGCCCTTAAAGTCCAAATTCACTATTATTGTGAAACCAGTTGGAACATTTTGAAGTACTCCGACGGCAGAGCCTAGAAAACGGTCTGATTTCGTGCATTTACTATGCTGACTAGGTTAGGTTCGCCGTACGTCAGCCGGTTATCAAGCCGAGTTCTCTCTGCTCTTACCAACTTAATTAACATAATCACTTACACAATACGCGTGAGCAGTATAACGCAGGCTGCATTGAATTTCCGGATAAATACTTCGAGATCTCTTTTTCACTGGTCCTTCCTGCGCTCAACAACCTCCTCCAACTTCCTGCTGTTAATTTTTCCGATAATAAGTGCAACAGTGGGTTTCCAAAAAACGACTCGAGCCCTGTCACCGAGCATTAGACTCATTCCCCAGCAGGTTGCTATTATTTCGTTTAGGCTTCTTGGAATACTGTTACTTCTAGGATGAATCAGCCGCATTTGCCTTCATTTTAGTGACCCATCTGTACCGCGCGGCATGAAAGTCTCTTCTTTGGTCACGCCGGAAAGCCTCGTTGAGGGCACAAACGAGTGGTGCCAATGTAAGTTCTCTGTCTCTCCATCTACCATACGCGCAGGGTCCCAACTAAAGCACTACAACGATCTTCGAAAGGCTGCCAAATTCACAGATACTGTGATAGTAATTGAAGACCACAAATTCCCTGTCCATTCGCAGCTTCTCTCGATTTCATCTGAGTACTTTGAGCATATAGCCTTTCGGGATTTCCCCGTTGCTGCAGAGATACACCTCGATGATGTGACCTCGGCGTCAAATTTTGAACTTTTACTGAACTTTATCTACTCTGGAAGTCTGCCGGTTGCAGAAGAAAATTTTACTGAGCTCTATCGTGATAGCAGCTTTTTCCTCATGCCACAGGCCTTGGATGTGTGCCGAAAGTGGCTTTTATCCCAACTAAACATAGAATCTCCAAACGAAAAGGCACTGGAGTTGGCAGTGGACATAATTTTGTCGCATGGAGACGAAGAAATCCTCGCCAGTGTCTTCACGATTTTGGCAAAGGACCTAGAAAAGTACAAAGGTTTGTGAATCGCGTCTCATACTGAATTTGCTTGAAGACAGTATTTTAGCTCTAGGGCCTCAAAAATTCCACGAACTTGTGCTGAACAAGAACATCATTCTTGTTGATAATGATGATCAGTTGCTCATGGGTGTATTTTATTTGACGAAATTGCTTCAGGTACGGTTTTTTGTCCGAATCCCGATATTTTCATTTTTGTTTACCCTTAGATTGCCAGCGCCATTTTTCCGGCTGAAAACGTTAACTTCAAGCTTGATGACTTTAAAAATCGTTTGACCGCAAGTACACGTTGCTTCTGTTTGTTCAGACATTTTTTAGGACCTTCTGCCCTGTTCCTATCGGACCAGCGCTATGGTACATATCCTCAATACGACGACACGTAAGTGACGTTTTTGCACACCAATATTGTTATAAGTGTTCTGTAGTTATAATGTAGGTCCGGAAATGTGGTTTCTTACGCCTTCTGTAAAGCATCTTCAGACGCTTCTTCCCTGTTATAACCGAGTGCGTTCCTGTGTCAACACCGGTTATGTCCCCCAGTTACGTGTTAGGAAGA